ATGTTTTAAACAAATACAAACAGTAAAGGGCAAAAAGTTTTGAAAAGTTTTCCAATCATTCAATTCCAAGTTCTCTCATCTTGACACCTCGGCATTTCTGTTTTTCTTGAGATTGTTAATGTTGCTTCTGCCTTGAGGTTGTTAGGTGGGAATCGGTTCCCACCCAGCAACCTCGGGGTAGAAGCAACATTAACAATCCCAAGTTCTCCAATCATTTTCAGCTAAATTCAGAATCTGTAGTGAAAGGGTGTATAAGCGGACTGCAGCCCCATGCAAGCCAACATTAAACAAAAACCCGTCTACGGGTGGAAATTTGGTTTGTAGTCGAGCTTTTTCATTTTTATTACATAGTGTAACAACCTGCGAGAAGTGTAGTTGTCATGTTGGCTGGTACGTTGTTGCTGTATTGGGATAGATCGTTCCCTTGAGGATCTATCCCATGATGAATTGTATTGAGACGAGTGCTTGACTGCACGATTTCCGAAGGTGGAACCCTGAAATCGACCGCTAAATTCATTGAAAATTTCGATCCCTTTATTCCTCGGATATCTAATGCCTATGAAGCAAACTTAGTGCAGGTGCATATAATCAAAAGCTGTTAGTAGAAATAATATAAGTCATGATGAAAAACAAATTGCTGAAATGTCCTCACCTCTGGGAGAGTGAAACCTTCAGTTACGAGCATACTCTAAGAAATCGTGATTTGTTAAGGAGTGATTCCTTCGGATCAGTTGAATCTGTCTTATTAGGGAGGTTTCATTGCAACATAAAATTATATTCTGCGTAAATATGATAAACAACAACTGGCATGATCGTTATTGTGGATTACTTCAGAGATATTAAATGAAATTGTCGGAGAGCATTTAGTATGATCACCGAAGAGCTGATTCCTACATAGAATTTAAGTCTCTAACAGATTCACCATTTTGAAACTTTCTAAACTGCGATAGGAGGGCTTCCAAGGGGAATAAGTGCATCGATAAGAAGAGGAGAAAAATATTTGCCGACGGGTGAGTAGTCTGATCTCTAGCTTGCTTCCAATAGACGAAACTGTGATCAGTGATGATGTCCGATGTTATGCTCAATGCTTGCCAGTGTTTTTGAGCAGCAGGAGTCATATCCTGTGTTCGGCAAAGAGTATGTTAGTGGTCTTTCGACGGCTATTTAAAAGCTGAACCTCGAAGGTAACTTTCTTGGACAAGAACCTTATCATCATGAGTGGCGGTACTTCCCCCTGGATTTCCACGGCAAACAGCAATGGTTCCGCTTCGGCTACCGTATATTGCATAGAAATTCAATCCTTCCCTTTCATAACTTGCAATGGGGTGCGGCGAATGCGACGCGATCCTCGGGTAGAAGTACCTACAACCCACTATCGACTCGAAAAGCTAAATCTGCTTCGTTTAAATCGCCTCAATGGTCATAATTATGCGATACGGTAACTATCGCCCCCAGTCTTCACCTATCTAATGGTTACTGCCATATGTATACCGTTAAACGGCGTAGACTGAAGTGAAATCCGAATAACCTTCATGAACGATTTGTAGATTCTCGGCCGCCCGATTCTTGTCGACGTGCTGTTTAACTTATGGAAACCATTAGCAAAAGTTTAGAACCACCCAGCTCTTCGTAGAATTGTGGACGGTGATCCACGTTGTACTCACATTAGATGAGTCGCACGTTAGATGAAAAGACTTTATTAGGTTAGATTATAAAATAGGGTTTCCGGGCTTTGACTGATGGCAAATGTAGCTTCCAAGCGGAATGTTTGACGGTTCGACATGCAGTTTTGACTTTTTACAAACTTTATTCTTTTAGACGAAAACACAGAGACTTGTTTTTATCACTAAAAGAACCTTTGCGCAGTCAGTCTCTCTCCTGCAGGATGCTGTTAGAGTTTGTGGTGTTTCAGAACGATCTGCGGTCAGTACATCTTATACGCAGCACCCTGAATGCCAGAAAAAAATTAGCGAAGCTCGAAAATCATCATCGCTGTATAATTTCAGATTTTTGAGGTTTAGAGCGCCGGTTAAATTTCTCAGCCATAAAAGNAAGTGGAGGGCAACAGTCTACAATCAGCATTTCTTAGCGCCCGATCCAAACATGCTTCGAGTTGACATTCACGTTCTATATGATGCTCAGCTATTCTGAGGGCTACTGGATTAGCTCAGAGGTAAATGTGATTACTTCGTTCAAAATAAATTCACATTTCGATTTCGATTTCATGTAATTCGATTCTATTATATTTTTGAGTGGTTACAGTTATGAGCACGCATCTTCTTAGCTTCTGATTGCCAAAAATTATGTATTTGCAACATTTCCAAAGGTTGAAGACCATGAAAGGTCTGAAATCTTTATAACTCTTTTTTTTTCATGCATTTTCAATATCGCATGCAACGATAATACTAAACCTTCGGTCGAAAGTTGAACATTTTGTAACACCTCTCCCTTCCCTGAGCACGCTCCATTCATCAGCCTCACTTTCGTATATTTTCCTATCACAGTTAAGCCCCAACGCTGATTTCTCTAGCTCCTTTCGTCGGTTTATATGCTTTCATAATTTGATACTGCCTAAGGAGACACGAGTGGGAGCAGTTTAGACGTTACATAGGCCAAGATGTGCTCGAATAAATAGGCTCGATGAAGTCCAATTGAATGCATGCTTAAACCAGCATTTTACCAAGCTCCGCGAAGAAACAAGTGAAGAAAATACTCGTGAGAGGACAATATTCCGGAAGGGAAGTTAAAACTCCTAAACCGTAAAAGCTAGTAGGATGTATGACGCATGTAGCAGCAGCAGTCAAGATTCTGTCATTCGTCAGAGAGAAATGATCACGCTGAGAGCGTTACATGCCAGCGATTTAATCCCATGGTGTTGGTTGCACGCTCACGTGGGAGGCGGCAAACATAGTTCCCTTCAACAGCTCAGAACTCGCCTTACTTAACTGCTATCTCCAACAATGTGAGCAGCCCTGATATTCCTCTAATGATCCGAGGGTTCTCAACTTTACTCCTTACTTCCTGGCCCGCACACTGAGTATTTNAAAATATACTTAGACCTTGGCATTTGGGATGTGGTGCAGTAGGATCGAAACTGTCGCGACGCGGCGAGAGAGTTGCGAAGGAATGTAGCAGAATGCAGCAGTAAGTAAGTATTACGAGGCGAATGGTCTGTGGCTGCCGCACACGGCGAATCGATTACACAAAACCGATCCTACTGCCCGTCTCCGCGGTTTCTGTGCTATTCAGTTCTTTACGTTCATCTCCAAACAAGGTACGGTCAGGTTGGGTGCGATGACCGTCTTTGCTCGTTTTACATATAGGTTAATACAAGTCTGAACTGAGGTTTGTTAACGTTTAACTTTGACTCAAAGTGCGCACTCGTGAATGTTAGATTCTACGGCACTGATGCGTTCTACACTATTGGCCGTGCAGAAATCATTAGAAAGCGTGCCACCTAGTTTCTAAGTTGTCTATGTAAACTCATTTTGAAAAACAAAATCACAAACCGTGCCGAATCCAGTACCGAAACCCGGCCGCACTTCGTCCACGACCAGTTTGTTGTCTTGCTCCGTCAGCGTCCATGGAAGGCATGTGTGTGATGTAACGTAACTGTAAGGAAGAAACCATTGAATTCCGTTCACTTCAAATGGTTGGACGACTGAATAAAGGTGGGATGTATAGCTTAGTGAAACAGTTCAGAAGGGAATAAGTTGGGTTTTTCATGGTGCTCTTGGGAAGCTGTTAGTTCCATTGTTGATGTAAAAGGGTCGTGATGTAATAGGCTTCGGAATAAGAAATTATATCTTAATAGACTGCCATAAATTACTCCATGATACAGCTAGCTTGCTTTTTCAACTATTCGCTTGATACCATTTTCGTGGAGCTCTTCTGCATCGTCACAATCTGTTTTATTAATCCGTGCCCATCCCCACATCCCCAAGTTCGAGTAGAAAAAACTGCACGGGAAGAGATTTGTGGAATAACTTCATTCCTTCATATGGGAAACATCACGGAACTGATACACGCAGTTTCTTACTCAACATCTATAATTACGAACGAAACCTGTGATCGCTCCATATCAAAATGTCAGGAGGCCCTCAAAAGGGCTGGATTAGCCAGAGCTAAAGAACTTAGTGGCTCCCATTTCTTTGTGAATGATCAACCTCTGACTGTGCCTCTCAAAGCGAAGTAACAACGCAACTATTACAATGACGAGCGTGGTGCAATAAAAAGAAAAACTTTTACGAGGAAAAAAAGAACTTGGAGAGCAGTTCAACTGGCTGTATTGTTCATTGATTGAACGAAATCTTTTCACTCATTTACTACCTTGATTTATTGGCAAATTACCAAACGAAGTCGCAATGACCAACAGCTCGAAAGTAATGGCAAATCAACTAGCTTGAACGTTGAACATAGTAGATGTCTGTCAAATAAGAATGAAGTCACTGGCACCAATCAATCTCATTATTGGGATGCGCCCCGACAACGGACCTCTATTCAGAATCGTAGTGATATATTAAATTGTTCATCGTCTGATAATGACTTACGGTGGTAAGCCGGTGAAGAGGACAGTTTTCTATAGTATGCTAGGGATTCTCAGACGAGTCCCGTACCACTTAATCGATCTGATGAGATAAAGGCTTGATCGGAATGAATGATTGTTGACCCGGGATTGGATATCCGTACCATGCGTATGTGATAGTGCACCACTTGCCTCTACACCAACTCCTACGTCTCCTTCAATATAGGAATACCATCAAGGTGATCCATCATTTCTTGAGCACTTTGCATCGAAAGCTGAAAAAAAGTCCGCGAGGAGAGTAGCGGCGCGATATTGACGTTGGTAAATCTGATGGGCTAGTTGTGGCAGATCTCTTTAATCATCATGTCCACTATTCCAACTTTCCACGGAAATCTTTGCCAGCTTGAGAGCCATGAGAGCCTTTTTCTTAAGGCGTGCGACTACGAGAATACCCAAATGTTACTGTGCGTTTGTAACTCTACATGGAGGACGAAAGCACGGTTTTCCAGGCCTCAGAAAAACATCACACCGTTCATTCGATACAGTGATTTGTAGGTAAAATGAAATGGGAAATTCTCTCCCACTGGAGAGAATGTCGATTTCCAGACCCCATGATGATGGAAAGGACTCCGGCTGTACGAACAACCAAGAATTCGCCTTCGATGCGAGAGGAGCACAGCGTTGTATCGTCCACATGATTTCGACAAGACATGAGGAAGACGGAACATCACTTCCACATGTGTTGTGACTACATTACATGTTCCCACAGCTGTTCCAACGTCTTCATGTTTCTCTTCCTTTCCCATTAAACTTTCGAATGAGCACTCAGCCTGTTCATCGTTACAGAGAAATAAGCGTTCCTTTCGTAAGAAGTTCCTGAAGTCAAAACACTTCATTGGGAAAGGGCTGATTTGACCTACTGATGGAGAACGAAAGAAGTTGTGTAAAGGGAACTCTTGTCAATCGCTGCACATATTCGCTGCCAGCTGCTCAACAGCGTTGTCCATAAAATCAAAAAAAAAATTTTCCCCATCACCATACTTAACTTTCTATGGATAGAGCAAAGAAGGAAATGAGTCCTTAAATAACCTATAAGCAACCTGCGACTCTCAGCCCCACTGACGACAACGCTCTCGACAACGTGTGAGGGCTATGCTGTGCTGATTAAAGTTGACCAGAGTCATGGTCGCGAACGCGACCATGACTCTGGTCAGGTTGGAAGAACTTTTTTCTAGTGTTAAATCAATGTTGCAGTCATCTATATTGTTAGTTCAGAATGGTCCCGTGACAACGATGTCCTTTCGTGGTGAGTGCGTGAGCGGGGATCTTCGGATCCCGCGCACAATCGATCGCCTTTGCTTCCGGGTGTATAAGCCAGCCAATCCACGTCGTCAATCAATCAGTCACATCCGGCACGATCTCTCCTTTTTCCCTCGTTAATCTTTTATTTGTGTTCAAGTTCCAAGTTTTGCATCCTAGTTTAACTACCCAAGTTTGAGGTAAACCGTCAAGTCAAGCCGTGCTGTATCCTGCATACAATTCACCCGCGGGGCACATCAGACTTGAAAGCGAGCGGTTGAGAGAGCACAATACGGCAAGGTAAAATCTTCAACCCTTGTTGACGTCATGACGTATGTAGTTAGGATCTGTAACTCCATTTATAGACGACTTATGGGCCATGCCAACGGGCCCGAACAAAAACTGAACTACACTGTGTAAGAGGAAGTTGAGACCAGATGTGCTCAAAACCTCGGGGATGAACGACATCAAAGGCATTCATTTCGAACGCTTTAATGGGGACCGAACATGTTAGGGTACATGTTAGGAACATGTTTCGTACCGCTCTGAAGGTCTGCACTGGAGAGGATGAGCGAAAAGAATCTCTGGAAATGGCGCACGATATTGCCCAACTGAACGGCTACGGATATTCTCCGACCACCCACAGACCTTTTTTCAGTGGCGTCTTACGAAGGAATGGTAGTACCTTTATGGACGGAAAGGTTCCCTTCGTACTGCCATTTATCTCTGATGCAGTCAGCGCCGCGATTAGAAAATGTCTTAAAAGGTCGGGTCT